GGCTGACCTTGACGACAGGTCACGACCGCTTCCTTGCACAGAGTTTACATGCAGATCGTTCCCAGCCGTCACTCACCTGCACCCTCGCCTCGGTCAGGTTGATCTTCATGGCGAGGTCTTCCCGTGTGAACACGTCAGGGTAATGTGTCTGCGCAAAGGCGCTTTCCAGCTCCTCCAGCTGAAAATAGAGCACAGGCGTTATTTACGCAGCCTCCAGACTCCGTGCTCAAAAATACAAATTAAAGTTGGTTGGTTATGCCTCTATAGGAGTCGATTAATAAAATGAGCTTTTTGTATATGCCAAGAAAAGAATGTGGTTTTTACGCCTGTGAGAATGTGGATTGTGGTTTTCGGAGTTAGGACACCGCGTTGTCTTGTCGACTGCTATCATCGGTTCCGAGGAAAAGTGGTTAAGGTGGAAGTTTGCTTTAAGCTCAGCTGTTCGAAAGATTTGCTTGGGTTACGAGCAAGCAATTTCTGTGGACGTGCAATGTTTTTTGGGTGTTCTCATTGACTCCTTTTTGCCAGAACGCCCTTCGGAACATCCGTCACAGAACCAGCGTGTTCGAACTTTAAGGATCTTTCGTATGTTCATCTCTCTTGCCCTTAAATATCTCACGCTGCAGTGCAAAAACGCTGCTGGCTTGATAAAACGTATTTAATCGAAAGAGACATGACTCAGTAGTGAATGCCATCTTCTTTACAGCAGCTTGTAGCATGCCCTGGTGGAGGACATTACATGCTGGTTGTAAACTTCCGAATGTTTCGTGTTCTGTGACGGTAATTCCATTGGTGTCAGGACGCTATATCGATAAATATTAGCATTTAAAACTGCAGCGTCTTTTTTATGGTCATGTATATGCAGATTACATAAATACATAAATTAGGTAGCCGACTGCTTCGTTAATATTAGTATTTGGATAGAATATAATTAAGCTAATTGTTGATCGCTGAACTTTGATGAAAAGCTCGATTCCACCAAATGAATTAGACCGTTGCTACAGTTTGTTAAGCGCTGACTTAATCCATCCAAAATTCCTCCCGAAAAGATTTTCTGGGCGCAGGACATCCGGGTGAACAGAAACTTCCGGCTTGCGGATTTTGAAGAGAACTCAAACGACTACATGGATTTATCCTGTCAATAATTTCATGAAATCGCATCCAGCAGAAGCCAGGTTATTGCATGCGGACGGTCAGAGAGTGACTACGTTTTTGCAGAACTTAACAAGGACATTTCTCTTATGGGCCACGCGTTGTGTTCCTATAAAACGCGTACGCTCAAGTGCGGCAGGCAAATGGTAATGCCACTTTGTTATTCTATGAAAAGAGAACGTAATGTATTTTGTGGTAGGAATAGAATTTTAATGTCGATTTGAAGTAGCTGTGTACTTGCACGTGAAGACAAAGTGACGATTGATGGTCACGTTCTGCGTTGCAATAAATGGTTGAAATGTGCGAGCGGGCTTGCGGGCTTGCGGGCTCTTCCGCGCTCACATATTTCCCCAAGAGTAAAATTTATATCATTCTATGGATTATTCTGTTAGACCGGTTAACACGCTGTGTAGTTGACTCAGACTTATTTTGATTTACACTTTTTAAGCCGCTGGCTGTTTTCTCTCTGTGTTTGCTCTCGAGTTACTGCGTATCATCCGAACTTTTTTGCGCAAAAGCTCGACTTTCAGCACGTGTAATTATCGTCACATGAAACAGCAACCGCCGAGGCAATTTCTGACAAAAATACGCAACCGAGTGCCCGAGACGAACATTTGCCCCGGTTACCAGACGCGACACACTTCAGTTTTGCACAGTCACGTGTTGTCACATCATCCCTTCTTGCATGAACACTGATTTTTGCTCACCTGCTGTAGTGTGAATGTTGTCCGATTGCGGCGCTGCTTGCGTCTCACGAAGGTGTCGTCGTGGATGGCAGGATGGTAGGAGTAGCTCGTGTCTGCAACCCACAACACACACGCAGTTATGCGAAGAAATGGGCTCAGGGTGCGAGGAACGCAGAAGTCGTCGGCGTTAGTTCCGTCCTGCTGTAACGTTGAGGGCGTGTGGGTCTTCTACCCTAAATGGCAGCAAACTTGCCCTACTTTTTTGCTCAATGTGGAATGAGGAGGAAATGCCACATCAGTGGAAGGAATCTCGTATTATTGTACTGATTCGTAAGAAGGGTGTTTCGACTGATTGTAATAATTATTGAGGAATCTCCCTCTTATGTTGTCCAACAATCTTTTGGTGAGGTTGACTCCATATGTTAATGAAATAATTGTGGATCATCAGTTTTTGGTTTCATCTTAACAGATCTACAACTGATGAGACTTTCTTCATTCGCCAGATACTAGAGAGAAGTGGGCGTACATCAACTATTTATAGACTTTAAGACTCACTTAAAAGAAAAGCTCTTTACAATATTTTGCCTGAATTTGCTGTATCTAAGAAGCTAGCAAAATTTGTGTAGGTAAACATTTTCCTGATACTCAGTGGCCTGAAACAGGGAGATGCTCCATCACCGCTGCTTTTCAGTTTTGCCTTAGAATGTGTCATCAGGAAGTCCAAGGAAATCAGAGTGGTTTAGAATTGAATGAGACACACATCAGCTCTTTGTCTGTGCTGATGATAAATACTACAAAATCACTCATTAGGGATAAATGCAGAAAGTACAAGGTACATGATCATGTCTCGGCATCCGAATTCAGGAAAGAACCGGAATATAAGGACAGCCAATGAATCGTTCGAAAATGTGACAAGTCAGAATGACATTCATGACGAAATCAAGAGGAGATTGAATTCAGGGAATGCTTGCTCTCATTCGGTCGAAAATCTTTTGTCCTCCCGTCTCATAAAAAACTAATTATTAAAATATATGGAAGTGTAATTTTGCCAGTTTTGCTGTTTGGGTGCGAAACTTGGTCTCTCTCGTTGAGTGAGGAATGTAGATTGAGGGTCTTTGAGAACAGGGTGTTGAGGAGGTATTTAGACCTAAAAGAGGGGGAGATGGATTATGGAGAAAACTGCGTAATGATGAGCTTCACGGCCTGCACTCCTCACCTCATACTTTTAAGGTTATTAAATCGAGGAGGATGAGATGGGCGGTACATGAGGCACGCATGGTGGAGAGGAGGGGTGTTTACAAGGTATTGGCTGGGAGGTTTGAAGGGAGGAGACTACTGGCAAGACCTAGGCGTAGTTGGGAGGATAACATAAAGATGGACCTTGGGGTGATAAGAATTGATGGAGTTCCATAAAGATAGTGGGCTGTTCTTTGACAAGTCAAGTATACAATTGACTTTTCAGAGAATATCCTGCACCATAGAGTGAGTGATGTTAAGTTAAAGTATCTTTTATTCTTCTGTGTAAATAAAAACATTTTAAATTCACTGTATATGAGAGTTTTATATGTATAGATTTTGTAGAAAATGTAATGGCTGTAAAAAACAAAATGTGATGGAAATTTATTATATTTTCACTTTTAATTCATTAAGTAAAATGAAACAAAAATTGAGCTTGTTTCGTGTACTTAACAATCTTGCTCCTGTCCTCTCTTTACAGCAATTTCTGATAATGGAAGATAAAGATTCAACATGCCATTGGATCCTGTTCTGAGCTGCATCATTCTAGTTCATATTATCAAAACCTATTTCCAGTTTATATATTTTACATCTTTTGTTTCATCTTATTATAGGTATTAACATTCTGAATAAATCTTTTGTTTTCCCCATCTGAAGTACATCTCCAGTCCCGTCCATGTGTGAAAAAAAAGCTTCATCTGGATTCTGGTGTTTATGAACAGTTCATGACTTTCTCAAATGTCTTCGCCTGAGCTGTGACATTGTCCCTGTTCCTCACAGAAACTGGAGCAGGTTGCACGTGCGGTAAGGGGGAACGACAGCTCGTTTGGAGGGCTGCAGTTGATCCTGTGCGGAGACTTTTTGCAGCTGCCGCCAGTGGTCCGGGAGACGGGTCAGAAGGGAGTCCGCTTCTGCTTCCAGAGCCGCGCGTGGGAGAAGTGCGTGCACATCAGCTTCGAGTTGACTCAGGTTTACCGGCAGTCGGATCCCGCGTTCATAGATATCTTGAAGAATGTGCGCATAGGCAGGTGAGGTTGCGCTCTTAAAGAAATATTTTAAAAATGAACTTTCATTTCACTGAGTTCCGGTAACTGTTCAGACGTGAATACTGTAAAGTGACAGAGATGAGAATACCATCACCACAATTTTATTATCAAAGAACTACTTTCACAAAATGCCTTCGGGTTTGGAGTCTTAAGTGTGTAGTAAGGTAGAGCATTTGTTATGTATATATTCATATACTTCCTTTAAGTATGTGACTCTACATAAGGTCATGTATGCTGTGGCAAAAGGAATATTTGGATGTGATTTACGTAGACAGTAAAATTAAAAAATAAAATCCGTCGCGTAACAGCCCTCTGAGAGCCAAAGCTGACTGCTGACCTCACGTTCACATGCCTAAGCAGAGGTGAACGATCATCCAGCCAGACGAACCCCCAGCCATTGCTAACTTTCCTGACCGGATTACGCTACCCATACTAGCTCCCCAATTTCCTCACGATCCTGGGTTGGCACCGGTCCCATACACCGGTCGAAAGCTCGTGAGAAAATTTCTTCTCCCCCGAGACTCGAGCCAGCGCGCATTCCGTATCGCCGGTCCAAAGCATGATGCCTCATACCACACGGCTATGGCAGACAGTATTCCGATGATAAAAGTTAAAATTGCTCAAAATGATACATAATCACAATTTAAAAATATGTAGCTTATTTATAGCTAAAAACTTATAGGTCATTATTCAAGTTGGGAGCGTCGATAAAGTCGACATGCCTCAGTGAAATGTACGTGGTTTCAGACAACATTGTGTGATGTAGAAGGCTGGCTGCTTGCGTAATGGAATTTCTTCGTCAATTCTAGAATCCTAGGAAGCAAAACTTTGAGTCCCTTCATGATGCCAGGTGATTCTTGATGCAAAATAAATTTACCTACTCACTTTGAAAGGAGGGGAATTCTGTTTCCATTATTCTGTTCATTGATTGTTGTTGAAGATAATTAATAAGCAAGACACCAAAATTACTAACATCTGTACAGAAATGTTAAGATTTTTTAAATGTTATGAAAGAAGAAATCTTGTTTTTGCAGAGTGACACCTGAGATAACAGCGCAACTCATGTCTACAATGGATCATAAGGTGGAGAGTGGAGACATTCTAGCGACGCAACTGTGCAGCCATACGCAAGATGCAAATCTGATCAACACCAGCAAACTGAATAACCTTGCAGGTATCAACACTCGTGCCTGGCCTTCGAGGCACGCGCACACCGGCACTTGCAATCCAGTTCGTTGATCCTTTTCTTCATAATGGTGTAGAAGTCCCGCACTTTTGATCTTTGGTTTTATGGAACGCTACTACTTTTTCTCTCGCTATGGTCTGAATACCTTCCCATGTTATCTTTTATTCTCTGTTCTATATACATTTGGATTTCGTTGTTTCTTTCAGTGATTCGCTGCAGTAACTTTTGGGTCACGTAAAAGGCCGGGATTTCTCGACGTTTAAGCGACTATCTTCCGTGGCATCAGTCTGATAATTCTTTTGATGATTTAACACGTAAAGGCATTCTTATCTTTGGTTTCTAGTTGAAATCACGTCTGTGAATAATACTGGTGTAGACTGTATTACCGTGCTCTCACGCAGACGTGAACTGCCTCCAGGTGCGAGCAGAACGTTTGAGGCGACGGACAGCGATCTCTGCTCGACGAAGACGCTCGACCAGATGACCCCTGTCCCCAGTTCCTTGGAACTCAAAGTTGGAGCACAGGTGATGCTCATGAAGAACATGAACGTGGCAGACGGCTTGGTGAACGGTGCTCGAGGCGTGATCACCAGTTTTGATGACAAAGGTACGTTGAGTGCTAATAGAATTTATGGCGATACTCATTGCCTTAGAAATGGCTGTTAGTGCTTGGGCTGGGCCTGATCAACGCCCGGTTTTATCCCCCTCGGCGCGATGTTTAACGATTATTATTGGGAGGGTAAACGGATTCTCACTGAAGGCACCTCCTGTAGTTCGGAATCTAAGCACGATAGAAGAATGTTGTCTGGACCAAAGTTACTTTGTTTTGAAGTGGAGGTCGTGGTAATAAGTTCCGCAACACCAAAATCTGTCGTGGTTTCAGTGCCTGACAAAGTCTGATGTAGCTCCAAAACCAAACTTACATGAAGAATGCACGAAGGCAAAATGTGTTTGCTTTGGAGACAGTTTTACAAAAACTAAGGCCACAAACATGGAAACTGCCCTGGGTTCGAGTCCCGGTGCGCGACCCTCGGGATAATATAGGATGCGACAAGAGCCCAGGTGATAGGCTTTTTGACTTTCACACAAGAAGATGCCGTCTTTTGCGCAGATAAGCCTAGGAATGCCACAAGACAGACACCATATTTAGCGTAGATTGACCTCGGGATGCGATCCTATTGGACGTGAAAAAGATAGGCAGGTGTCGACCACCGAGCTTCAAAGGGCTAAACGAACTTGAGTTCTTAAACGCGTTACAAATATCTCGGGCGTGTAACTCGTGTGGGCGAAAGTAATATGTTGGAGAAATTTAACAGAGAAGTGTCTCGGAGAGCGGCGATCGGAAAGATACCGTTAACTAATAGGGCAATGCTTAAAATGATGGTGCTTAACTATGTGTGTATTATAATAAGCCTCTGAACTGCACTCTTTTGTCCGTACCCTTCAAGACGCACCTGGCGTCTGTCGTCATGGACAATTTATTGAAACTAAGTGGCACTTCATTAAAAACGCTAGGCAAACAGATTCGCGTATTCCTTAGTTCCTTTTACGATAAATTGAATTTGGCGTTATTGCTAATTATCTGCATAAAATTGTGTAAATATTGCATCATGCAGGGTAGTACAGCGTTATAGAAGTCCGCAGACTGCAGATGTCGTGAGTTCCGTTCGTCCCATTTAGAGTGTCGGGTGGCGTCGTCGTTACGTCATATTTTTGTGTCCTCGTGTTCCCTACGTTTAAGTAAGCGAGGTTATGACGACGTACTTGCAGGTTGGTTAGAGAAAATACAAAATGCACACAGAAGAATTCATTGGGAAATTACAAGATGGAGATTAGGGGATGATATTAAAATGGATAATAGAGAAATTTTGTCGTATTCTGTTATCATGGAATAAGTCCGTAGTTCTCAGGAGCTAAGTGGCTTTACTCCGAACCTTGTTTCATTTCCACACGTTGAGCCTAATAATTATTGTCGTCTTTCTGATCGTTAGGTCTGCCCGTCGTGCGATTCTGTTCGAAGAGGGAGGTGGCTTTGAAGCCCGAACGGTGGGTGGTTAAGACGGGCGGCGGGGCGCTGCTGTCACGCAAACAGGTCCCGTTGCGACTTGCCTGGGCGTTCTCCATTCATAAGGCTCAGGTATTCCACTTGCTTTTACCTCGCGGCGAACACAGTTTGCGACCTGATTTGTCGTAGCGCTTGATTTTGGAGGCGCTCGCCGACATCTCAAAGGAACGCGTCGCTTCTGCCTTCGGCATAGGCGGAGGTGATTGGTCGTAGGAATTGAAATTCGGTAGCTGCCCCATTCACCCTACCCTAGGGGCTGTAGACTCGATTATTGCGATCAACACTTTTTTCATTTCTGTACTTGAGCAACTGGATTTTGACTGAAAATTTGAAAAAAGAAACTTAAATTACAGGGAGTCATGTGTTATTTAACGGCACCGTCAGTAGCTCACGCTGTGTAGCTTTAGTCATAAGATGAATACTGAAGATTGAATTGGAGAGGCTGTGGCAGAAAATGGTTACAGCCTCATTTAATTTGCTGCTATGGAGGAACTGAAGAAAACCATGAGAGACCTCAGGATAGCCAGTTTCTGGGCCAAGATTTCAACCCAGGTCCTCCCAAATGTAAGAAGGAATAATAACCACTCGACTGTGAAATTTTACATCATAATTCACGGCGCGGTAGAACTCGGTGAACGTAGATCTTGAAATTATTTGAAACGTTGTGTAATTAATTAAAGCTGTAACACGTACGACTAATGATTTCAAACTGAGCACTTGTAGAGATGAATCGTATCTGGTGTAGCGTTAAAAAGATAAAGTGTTGATGGCATTAATTGCTTCAGAGCGGAATGGACAGATTTCAAGCAATAGACTTGCATGTCGTTACAGGGGTGCCATAAACTTGATTGAAAACACCAGCATTGAGATTGTTGAACATCCTGTTTGTTCCGAAGTGCGGACGTCTCTTGGCCTTTCAGCTTTCTCGTTTGACTTCGCTCTGGGTTCGCTGCAAAAATTAAGCAAAACTTCCGGAGAAACCACGATTGTTCCTGATTGACTGAATGTGCACTGACATGCACTGTTACCAACTGAAGATTCTAAAAATACTGAAGTTAAGTAGTCGAGAACAACTAACAAGATGGCTTACCGAACCCGAAGGTTCATCACCGAATTAACCAAAGCCCTCCACCGGACCCAGTCTCCTTCAACTCCTATCTCCCATAGTTCCCGCCTGAGATTATCCTCCCATCTATGTTTAGGTCTCCCCAGAGGTCTCTTCCCCTCAGGCTTCCCGGTGAACACATCTTGCCCCATCCATGCGCGCTACATGCCCAGCCCACCTCATTCTTCTCGAGTACGCGTAAGGCCCGTCGTCAGCTCTGTGGCGCGGGTCGCGAGGGGACCCGACGCTTCGCCGAGGTGAGTCCGTGTCTTGTTATTTATTGTAGGGACTGACTTTGGACTGCGTCGAGATGTCCCTGGCAAATGTGTTTGAGGCGGGTCAGGCCTACGTCGCCCTGTCCAGAGCCAAGGGCCTTGACACGCTGAGGATCCTGGACTTCAACCCCAAGCACGTCTGGGCAAACCCCGACGTCCTGGACTTCTACGAGAAATTCCGCAGGAAGCTCCGCCAGACGCGGATCGTCCCGCTCGGCAGGCCCAGAGTTTGACGACTGCCGAAGCCAGGATTTAAATTTTGCTCTTGGACTGCGCGATGATGACGCGGACCGAAACTGAGAAGTTGTAGAATTAAAAGACTGAAAATTTTATACAACGTTTGTCCGTTTTGTAATTTTTGTATTTTCCGTTTATTAAAAGAGTGGACCTTCCCTCCTGAGTTACCAGGGGTGGATGGTGGTTGACATTTGCAGCTATTCAAGGGACCAAAAATGTTCATAACCACACAAGTCCACTGTAGGATTCTATCAAACGTAAGTTCAGTCGAATTCAGATCATCACAACCAATTTTCCTCCTTCCTGAATGTCGGTCACTTTCCGTGAAGTTTACATTCAAACTCTTTCAGATCATTTCTGTTTCCATGCACTTAAAAATTATTCTGGGCAGGCTCTTTAAAGTTTACTTTCGTATTGGCTGTCCCATTTGCTTTCAGTGCTGACGTGCATAATTTGTACGTATGTTCATCATCTAGTTCCATACCGGAACCCACCACGGAAAATATGCATCAGTAGTGCGTTCTTGTTTCAAGAAAAATTGTTCAAAAATTTCGTGGCTTAGTTTGATACTTGGACAGATGCAGAGGTTACGTACACGTGGAAGTAATTGCCTGCATTCAGGTAGTATCCTATGAGGATTAACAAACAAACAAACAAACAGGCTGTTTCTTTATTCTTGCTTTGGGCCTAGTGCACGTGAAATTGGTTCTCTCTTCATTACGAGCCCGCAGTATCAGGGATAAAGCGACTGACAGCCACTCGAGAGCCATCTGGCGGCTTAACGCGACAGGAATTGTTCATTACGAGAGTAATCGCAACATGGATCGTCCATTAAGTGGAATCCAGTGGCGTGCAACGTCACGAAACAACACGTAACTTCAGAAATTTGCGACAGGTACGAGCAAAGGCGTCTGAGAAAGCAAACGATTAATAGCCGAAGGACTTTCATTCGTTCGTCGGCTCCTTTTCCAATTGTCGGATCGCGAAGTGTCGATACGTCAGCATCTCGGTGAATGTAAGCTTGCACTCGAGTGTACACGAGAGAGATTAGCGAAAAACTATGCACCCCCAGCATTTTGGAAAAAAAAACTCCCTCGTTCTTTGGCTTTCACCAAATAATTTTGATGTGACAAAATCAAGGACGATGAGGTGGATGGCAATGCAACATGCATGCGAAAGCTGAGAAATGCATTCGAAGTTTTGATCGGGGATAATGAACGAAAGACAATTCCGAAGGGCCCTAGCTTTTTACGTAACCCAAACATTCCTTACCCTCACCTGCGCCAGATGAACTGAGGTTTCCACATTCTGTATCGTTTAGTAACTCAGCATTTCGCATCGAACAGTGAATTTGTCAGTTTTCTTTAGTTCCCAGAGCAGACTTAATTAAACGAAATGTTTTAAATTAAAATTCTGGCGTTCCCAGTCGCCCGTCTTATTTGCTAGTGCTGTTCTACAACCAGAACAATCTTGGGTTTCGTACGTCACACGCTAAGCGGGGCTGGGGATCATTAAATCGCGACACTACGTTAGAAGCTCCAGGAAGTTGCTCGGAAAGACCTCTTTTACCACCACAACCCCCCCTCCCTTCCATACCGTCGCTGGTGCATGTTGTCTGGTTTGTCTTACGTCGCATTTGTGTTCGCCATTCCCTTCGGTCTGAGCACCTTGCCGCAACGTCGGGATAGCACCGCGTGCAGTTAACTCGGCCCTGAAGACTGCAGCCCTGGCTTCCACGAAACGAGGACTGACATCAACGATGCTCTCTGCTGCGACTCGTTGTGACAGCCGTTTTCACGTTGAGGAAGTGGCCGTGGTAAGTACGAATTCTTCGTGCTCATGAAGTGACTCGTGTTTCAGTTGTGGTGCCTCGAAGTATAGCGTCCTGTATGCTGATGAGGCTCCCTCCTGCCATTCATTGCGCTCTGGCAGTGTTCGCAGGTCAGGTTGTACGGACGTGCACTTCACTCCAGGTCACTTACTTTCGGGTGCTGCTGTAGGATCGCTGATATTCATGCAGCGCCATTAGCTCATAATATAATGATAATTGTTTCTGTTTGTTGAGTAAGTCCCTCGAAATATGTTTTATGCAGACTGAAAATTCGTGGCTAAGAACTCGTGCATTTCTTGATTCTTCCGTATTTTCCTTCGTGATTCACTCGCTTGAACGTCTTTGATGGAATTATTTTAACAAGATGAGAAGAATGCACATTGTGAAGTTCCCATTTTCGTACACGTAAATCCCAGCTTCAGTTTCTCTCGATGGTCGTATTCATTTCCCTGGTTAATTTTAAGACGAAAATAATTGTGATTTGTTCCTCGCTAACAAATGAACTGTGCTTTGATAGTAGAGTCCTTCGCTGCATTTTCAGGGTTCGACTGATTCTCCCCGCACCCAAAATTCGGAGAGGATGCTGGAATCTCTCTCTCTGGTTCGCTAGCCCCGGGCGGTGCAGGTAGCCGCCTGCCTCGGCGCTCTGCCTGCCGCGTTGTAAGCACGGCAGTCGTGCGTTAGACGTCAGTGAGGTAAGTGGTGTTACGAATTCGTCCTCAAGTTCTATTTGTTCCTCAACGACTTGTCTGTTTTCTCATGAGGTGAGTCTTTGATATCGGACCGCTGTATGCGTTGGCATGTTTTATTGGTTCGACCGCCGCGGCTTAAGACCCCACGACAGCCATATTGAATTTTATTATAGCCTCTGTCTTGGCAGGTAGCCATTTTGTGAGGCGTGCTGAGAGAGAGAGGGGGGGGGCGAGATCTCTCGGCCATATTCATTGATACATCAGTCTATCCCTAAAACCAGTGAAGTTTGCTCAAGTAATAGAAACATCCCCGCGTTCCAAGAGATTAGAACAGGGTGCGCGAGGTGGTGCTTCGACGCGATTTCTCGGGAGACTGGCCAACTTGTAATGTGTGTTTTGTTTCTTCAGATAGCCGCAACCCACCAAGATTCCCTAGATAAAAAACCACTAACCTAACCTAATATTATGGTAGGAAAAATTACAACTCCAAACGTGACTTGCCACATCTGGCTCACGTACGGACCCTGATTTCACGCAGTCGGTTATTGGTGAAGATAACTTCTTAGTTCGTTTATTTTATTTGGAGGACACACACACACACAACTGCCCACTCGGGAGGTCGGCCATTTCATTTCTTTGTTGCTTGCGAGACCACAATTTTCCAAATGCTGTGCCGCCACAGTTCGAACTGTTGCTCTGACTACGGGCTTACACTGTCAGCAGGAGCGGGAAGCCATAATACGTCATGACGTGTCTTATCGCAAAAAGTCGTGTACGCCTTTTCCTACTGCAAAATGCTATCTAGTGTCATTTCTGAGTAAGTCGTCTAATGCCTCCGTGACACACCACAGTATGCACCGTTTCGTGATTTATCTCTGTACAGTCCAGTCCAGTGCATTGTTCTGCGTAGGAGGTACGCGTCTTCGCTACTGTAACCGTGCACCTCTAATTTAGGCGGTACGTAGAACTTTTGCTGTCTCATTTCTCTGTAAATATTACAAATTTTGCAGACCGTGCTGAGCTGTCTTGTGTAGTTTCTTTGAAAGCTGCAGAATTCGTGTGCACTCTCCCTTCGTTGCTGGAAAATTTGTATTGAAATTCAACGCGAAGATTTCCTCCGTACGTTCTCCCTGGCCGTCGCCTTGCCTTGGGGCACTCATTGCAGCTGCCATCTAGCGTCGTACCGAGTTCTTCGCCAGTCGTGACAGCAACAAACAATTATCCGCTCCTCAGTTTGAATTTACTTACTTTCAGCTGTGTTTCGGACAGTGGCGTCTGCAGATCCCACGAACTTCGACCTTGGGCTGAATTGAACTCGCGTTCTTGAAACAAGGAAGTCGACAAGATTACAGTTTTAAAAATTCGTACTGTCTGGAACAGCTGTTATCATTGACTTCGCAGACCTGCCGTCTGAAGTAAGTTCCACTTGAACAAAAGTTAAGTTGCATTACTTCGTGACATTTTCTCTCTCTGCACCTGGGTTCGGGGTGTGGGTGTGCCCGAGACCGGCACCTGTCCTTTCACCCGCCCAAGGCAGTGGGGTACTCAAGTGCATGTAAAGGGAACACTCCATGACGTGGGGTTCGTCTGTAATGGTATCTTGCGTTCTGTGCTACCGGAATTCATTGAAGTGTAACCGCTCGGAAGACCTGGGCGTAGGTGGGAGGACATCGTTGAGATGGTCCTCAAGGAGGCAGGAGTCGATGGAGCGAACTGGATGCAGCTGGCTCATGACGAAGTCTGGTGACGTACCTTCGGGTTCCGTAAAGAAAGTGGGTTGTTCTTCGACATTCCGAGTTTACAGTCGACTTTTCAAAGAAAATCACGCACCTTAGGAGTGAGTGAGTGTCTAACCAAAATCTGCAGATACTCGACCTCCAGAAAGTATCAGGGGGTCCTTTACCCTTCTTCCGTGTATATTATTTCTGAATTTTAATTTTGGCCAAAGGGAGCGAATGCCAAGTAGTATTCGAGATTTGAGATTCTCACAGCGCTGAAACTGTTTTGCGACTGTAATCTTGAGACTTGCAAGGAAAGCAGGAAGTTCGAAGCGTTAAAGGCAGACGCCATCTTTCCTCCTTCACCCCGCAAGTCTCAGGATTGCAGTCGCGAACAGTACATCTTCAAGGCAGAAGCGTTAGTTGAGCAGGGCGATCAAAGCGTTCAACTAATCCGAATTACTTTCTTGGTGAGGCGGGAATGAAACCCCAAACTGAACTGTAATTCGCTACTTTGTGTCTTGTTTCGAAATTGAGTCATGGACTTTTGTAATGCCATAAACAGCAGATGTGCAGCACTGTTGTATTCTTGTCTGCCTGCCCCTCCGCCACGCCTACCATCAGATGGGGTTGCTTTGACAGCAGCGACCCCTGTCGTCTTTGATTTGAACAAAAGAAATGAGAGCGGATCAGCTTCATTGCAGAGACAAATTCCGCTTTTTAACTGGTTCGAAGTTGAGATAAGGAAAAACGATCCATGTCCGGGTGGTGAGATTGTTTTCCAGCTACAGCTCTAATGCACTTTACTGCCAGATCGCGTGCATTTTATGATCTAATGTTTGATTATCGTTAAGTTAGGTCACCAGGCTCGTCTGTGGGAAAATTAGCTCGCCTATTTTTCTTAATCATGGGTTTTAAAGGAAAGAATGCGAAATGTCCATGGCTGTTAAAGAGCAGGTTTGTCAGTACTAGGAGACTTTGCTACCACGTCCGGTGGGCCTGTTTTCCACCCTCCCAGGTCATTAAAATCCCGGAGTGAATCTTTTTAAAAAAGTTTTGGGTTCACACGAACGTATCATAAGTTTACTTTTCTTCACGTGGGCCAGTGTAGTTTTCGTAGATACTCCGTTTTGCCCAAAGCATCTCCGGCATCTTCACACGTTCTCCGTTGTAACAAGCGTTAAAAGACTGCAATATAGGCGTATGTGCTTCCCGAACGCTTGGTCCGACGCTGCATAATCGTCGATGTTTGTAAAATGCTGCAGATCTTAATGAGACCAGTGCGGAGCAGCAGTCATGCCGGTGGAGGGCGCTGCTGAAGCCTCGGGAGGCCCATCCTCGTCGTCCGCTGCCCTGGACGAACCGCTGTCACTGTCCTTGCCAGCGCGCAGCTCTTCCTCGTCGTCGTCGGCGCGCGGGGGCCCCGGGTTCGAGCTGTACCACCACCACCTCGTGGGCGGCCTGCACCGCGAGACTTCCGCCTTTGTGCCAGTGGTGCCTCAGCGTTTC